CTGGACATGCTAGAAAGCCTGCGTTTGCTCCTAGAGATTTCAGGGTGGGATTTCACCAGCAAAGCATGACAGAAGTTTCCTCTTCTCTCCCATCCTGGACCTACCCATGCCCCCAGCCAACACCAGCTTCCCCGGTATCAAACGCTCTGCCTTTTTGTTCCCGACAGCTTTGCCACTTCAATCCCATAATTGTTAAGATCTGAATTTTTGCAGGATACACAGTTATTTTAATCTGTTAAGTGGCTCTGCTGCTATAAAACTGACAGGAATTTAATATCTGGAGACTGTCAGCTGAGCTCCAGGTGCTGAGGCTTTCTAGATGGCGATGATGCAGAAGGAAGCGCAGGCTGGTGCGAGGCACACAAGCGCAAAGCTGGCAAGCGTCCCTTCACATCGAGGTCCGATCCTGCAGGATGCTGGGCACACCAGAGCACTTGGAGCAGGCAGAAAGGGTGCTGAGCCTTTCGTTATCTCCCAGGAGCCATCCCCCAGCTGCATTTGCACACACTCGGAAAGGAGCTGTTGCATTGCAAACACTAGTACAAGTCAAGTGTATCAGCTCACTTAAAGGAACTTTTCCTCAGTAGCTTTTCTCCTGTGATCCAGCCCCTGACGGACCCGCATTCCCTCCAGAGGCTGTCAGCTGTGCTTCAGCCATTCATCAGAGGGAGCAAGCCAGCATGCAGGAGGGAACGAAGTGAAATAAAAACCCCAAACCCAACAAAAAACCTCTTTGTGCCCCTCCTGCACACACTGCTGGCCCCGAGCACCGGAGCCCAGACCCCCCGCCAGCCCCTCACTGCTGCAGGGCTCTGCTATACAGCCAGCTTCCCACTTTGGTCTGATATGGATTCACCAGGTGGAGAAGATGAGATGACCAAGGGGCTGTCACCTACTCCTCTCCTGCTCCCTCATTAGCATCCCCCAGGGCCACACGGCTGCAGGCTGGCACGGGCACCGGCACGCTAGCAAAACATCACTGCGGAGCCAACTACACGTACTCCTCACAAATCGATTTGGGAATTTGCTTGTAATTAATCCCGCGTATCAGTTCCTCTCATTATTTCTTAATGTAATTAAGTTATTAATTTATACGTTCCCCCTCCCTTCCCAAAGCGAAGGGCCGGATCAGAGGGAGGCAGGGGAGATGGACCTGCACTACCGCCCGGCCACAAGCCCGGATCCCCGGATCCCATGCCAAGCCCCGGCACCGCTTCCCTGTGTGACTTCAGGTGGGTCACCGGCAGCCTGATTTTCCAAGAGGGCTGAGCAATTCCAATTCCTCTGGAGTCAACGAGAGCCAGAAGGATACAAAGTTCAGTTAACCTCTCCAGGTCCTGGTCCATCCTGCCGGAAAACTGCCGGGCCAGGGAGACAAGCTGGAACTAATTAATGCTCGCAAAGTATTTTGAAACCCTCTGCCAAAAGGCAGGGAGGGCAGGAGGCATCGACGAGTCCCAGCTCATCCGTAACCCCGACCAGCCCCGTGTCCTTACACCTTCATCCATCAGACTCGGCTCTCCTCCAGGCTGAGCCCACGGCAGCTAACCAGACACCCGGCCGGGCCATGCGGGCGACGCACCCTGGCAGAGGCAGGCACACCGCTACGGCTCCTCAGCCAATTTACAGGACTTTATAAAGGGCAGGGAAAGGGCAAGGGCAAGTTTCCCTTACTGCACTAATAGGAATTGACCTGCCCTTTGAAAGAGAGAAAAAAAGCCCAAGCGACAGCAGTAATAACAGCACCGGAGGGACTGGGGAAGTTGTCCCGGGAACAGCTTCACGGTCCTAAATGGAGCAAGTTATTTTCTTCCATACTCTACCAGCCCTGCAAGGTTACTACACCCCACAGCCAGGAGGGAGTCCCACACCCTAAAAATCCAGCCTCAGCCTGCTTTGGCCGCCCCAGCATGTACCGCCAGCGGCTGCAAGCGGCAGGGAGGAGGAGGAGGGAAAGGAGGCGGCAGGGATTGAGGGGAGCAAGGGCTGGCAAGAAGAAGGGGGGCCCTCTGACCCTGCCTGCCACTGGGCAGCGGTGAGAGATGCACGGAGACAGGATTGGGGGGGGGGGGGGGGGGGGGGGGGGGGGGGAAGAGGAGGTGAAGCCAAGTTAGTTAAAACAGATGACTGTGCCTACCTCTTTGTGCATGAGCAGCTCAGGAAAGATCAGCTACCGCCGTCGGACCTGCCCTGAACACCCGTCCCACTGGGGCCACGAGAGGCCAAGCCAGCAGTGTGTTTCGAGGGTAGGCAGGACCCAAAGACCACAGCGGACCCCTCACCCCGAGGGCCTGCTCCTTGGATACCTTGCCGACCCCAACATATAGCTCTCTGGCTATAGGAAAAACATCCCAAGTCTTCCTTCGGGAAGATGAGTGCTGGATCCGGCACAAGATTAGGGGTAAAGGGAGGTGGTGGGGGGTGCAGACCAAAATAACAGCGACGGATGGGCAAGCCCTCCATGCAGCCGAGGGTGGCAGCTCCGCGAGCAGCAGCTCTGCCACTGGCCCTGGGCAAACCACCAACACGCCACAGCCTGCCGGCAAGCTCGGACACCATGGCATTCCGGCACCGGACACGTGCCGAGAGCCCTGCTGGGAAACTGGCACGGGCAGGAGGAGGCATTACCAGCTGGAGCCTGACTAGAAGGGTCTAAAGGTTAAATCCACATGAGGCATGATATATGGTGTGCATATGGCCACAGAAATAAAGCTTGATTGAGAGAGAAGGCAGAAGGGAGAGGGGGGATAAAAAAAAGCCCACATCAGAAAACGCTGCCAGGAAAGTTGATACGGATTTGCTCCATTTTTTTCCACCATAGCTGCGTTGCAAAGTTTGCACTGCCATTAGCAACCTGCTACCTCCATTCGTTTCTTGAGGAATTTGGGAGGACAACTCTGCTCAAGTTTCCATCATCGGCAGCCAGTCCCGCTGGCTGGGAACGGGACACACCGCCAGGCTCCTCTCTGGACCACAGCATCCCTGCCTCTGGTACCCAAGTCAGCTCTGCAGCCATTCAGAGAGGTTAACTGAAGTGACACCATGTCCCCGCGCTCACAACCAGCTTATAATTCATACTGCTCAAAAGCGGTTTCCAAAGCCAAAAAATGTAATGCATTAAAAAAAAAAATTTTAAAAAATCAGCACTGTATGGATCTCAAGGGGATGCAACTGTTTTGATGGAAAATTCAGAGGAAATGAAGGAGAGGCAATTTTAGCAGTCAAATTGCTGGAGTTATGGCAACTTGGCAGTTGCAGCTTCGAAACTCAGGGCCTGATCCTGCATGATGGGAGAAGTTTGCTTCGCCAGCTGTAGGAGCCCAGCCTGGCCCCTAACAGCATCAGCAACCTGCACCTCAGGGTGGGGGGAGCCTTGAACGGGAGCAGAGAGCCAAATGGGCTACAAAACGGCAGCAATTCAGCTGCAGCTGCTGCTAAGCGAGAAGCAAGGTTCATTTCAAGGAGAATATAGGAGCTCACATCAAACAGAGGAGGTCTTATTTTGCAATTTTTAAGAACGCAGTGCCGACAGAAACCTACTGACACCAAAGCATAGTTATGGTTAAGAAAGGGCTTGTCTTCTAACTCTGTTTTCAGTGACTTATTGCCTTCCCCCGCTTAAATAAATAAATAAATCTATATATAATTATTTATTTTGGGGCCTGAAATTGCATAGATTCATTCCCCTCTGCTAGGATTGAAAGATTTCTGAAAGCCTGAGAAAACCTCCTCAATCATTTTTATTTAAAAAACATGGAAAACCAATAATTCCTCAGGACGAAAAAAATCAAAGTAAGCTTTATGAGTTCTGACTTTTTTTTTTTTCCCCAATCAAGCCATTAATTCAGTTGCAGAGGTGACGCATATATGAGACTCTCCAAAGACCTGGCCAACACGTATAGTTGCCGTATGCCACAGGCCAAACACTCAGTTGCGTGTCATCGGTGCAAAAAAGGGGCTGAGGGCTCGCAGCCTTCCTCTGCTGCGATAACCCTTAATCTCAGCAGATTTTCAGGACCTGGGCTCTAACCCCGATTAATTTATTCAAGATTTACAACACTAACTAAGAGCAGCATCTAATCCGCCTCCCTTGGAAAGTTAACCCTCAGCTAAGCTCAGCCGTGAGAGAGGAGAGGACGTGGGACCTTGCTCAAACGACGCTGACTGCCGCTCCCCTGCTTTTCACACCGTTTGGGCAGTGAAACTCCTCTGTTTCGCTCCCTGTGTCGAGTGGGATGCTCTTCGCATCTCGCCTGTGCCGTCACTCCGGTGCACGCCGGGGACTCAAAACATGCCACAGAAACACGCGACTGCGCCCTTCTCCCACCCAGGCTGAGAGTTACAGGGCAACGCTCCTACCCACGCCCTGCCTTCAAACAAAAACCCGTAATTAAAAAAAGCCCCAGAGGTTTAACCCGGCCGACGCACCTGCAGCTCTGCCAGCCGACGTGCCCCAACCGTGGACCACCTAAACGCTCTCCCATCTACTCCCCTCTCGCTTCGGATGAGGGAGAAGATGGAGCCCTTCTCGTTTAGGAAAGAGCTCGGAAACGCTGCGTGACCCCTTCACCCGGGCCAGGTCTCGCCCGTCCCCCACGCGTGACACAAACCACGCCGCCTCGCCTTCTTGGGGTCCCCCCGCTCCCCAGGAACCCAAGGCCCGAAGGATGCTCGAAGTTGTTGGCGGGGCAGAAGGGCCGCCACACTCCCACCCCCCCCCCCCCGGGCCGGGGGCC